GGGGGGGGGGGGTCCTCCATATAATCAATTCAGTGCAGCCAAAACTACTAGTATAAAAAAATCACCACGTTTTCAGACAATGACAATGAACTTTATTGCATATTCACACCCCACATGGGACAAATGCACTAATTTAGATAACTTAGCTACAAGGATAGAAACTTTTTTTGGGGGAAACGGACGGACATTCATGCGCGCGCGGATGTCATCCATACAATCAAATTAACATGGTCTAATTGCGTAATTCTGGATGCCCCACATGATTTCATTTCCAATACCCAGTTGCTTGAGTAACTTCTTTTTGGCGTGTTGTATTACATCATTATATATTTTTAGTTTTTGTATCAAATTCGCATAAATGCCACATTTGCACACCTCTTAGTGTAAACTTATTCCATCGAAGTTGTCTGTGTCGTTCAGGCGATGTATAGCATTGTCTTTTTTCCAATAGGGCCGTTCTATTACTGTTATTTAGATGACATCCAATGGGACCCCAAAACTAATGCGAGAGTTTGAGCCTTTCCAGTTGCGTATTTATTTGTGTTAACGATTCTGTTAGATCATTAGTGACGCTGAAGAAGAGTGGTGGATGTCCCTCGAAACGTCCGGAAATTATCTCCGTAATTTAACCAGGAGTAGAGTTTGAATTGTATTGTTTACCTGGATGTCTAAGTTCATCGACATAATACGAGAGTGCACGGAAAATAGGTTTCATTGAATCCATTATGAAATCAAAGTGGACAGGAAGGTTTAGCATACAGTATAACTAAATACTGTAGATGATATGCCAACAATAAATTCTATATTATAGTTCTTTTTATCTTCTTTGGCATTGACAGATTCACTAAGTGTTAAACTACATGCAACTGTACTTGTACAGGCAGTAGTTGTCTGTTCCCTATTATTGTATTGTACCGTATTGTATCTTTGACTCTGTAAAAGCAATTAGCATTCGGGCATTATTCTACAAATAAAGAATTTCTTGTACTGATCCCCATAATTACACTAAGATTACCACAGAATAGTAGGCACTCAATGGCAGTACCATTAACTTGTGTTGTCTTTTCGCAATTTATGGCATGTAGTTACTCATGTTGAAAACTGTGTTCTGTTAGTAGTACTCTGTAGGCGTGGAGTTTAACCATGTGCATTTGCAATGCGCCTCAACGCACTGACCGGAATCTGCAGTTAGTTTTTATCTCGCTAGAGGCCCTTCGTGTGTTGCGCAGATTTCGCAATATGGCGTATATATTTGCTCACGTTGAAGCTTCTTTGTGGGATTATACAAAAGTTACACCCTTCTTTCTCAGTCTGGTATTCCAGTGCTTAAGTGGTCGTCAGCATTGAGCTTCCAGTGTTGAGAACTGAATCAGCATTGGAATACCAGTGGAGAAGGCGTTACTTTCGTATATTTGCGGATTTGGTGGACGAAAACTGTGCTCTGTTACATTGTAGGCGTGGAGTTTATCTACTAGTATTTGCTTTTGCACTGCCTCAACGCACTGACCAGAATCTGCAGTTTATTCTAATCTCGCTAGAGGCCCTACGTGTGCTGCGAAGATTTTTGGTTGCAAGCCATAATATATCATTAGGTTCCGGTTATATAGAAGAAGAACTTTATTGTACGACAATTGTACATGGTACAATGTATAGCAACGACTATTGAACATAGTACCAAAAGAAAAGAGTATAGAATGAAAATTAACATCCTAATTACTAAACTGGCGTAACGACAGAGTGCTCAACTCGGATCCAAAAGGTCCCGGGTTCGAGTCCTGACATTTTGTGTCCTTGGTAAAGGCACTTAACATGACTTTCCTCGCTTGGCTCATGTGAAAATGAGTATTGTGTTGTCCCCTGTTTTGGTGGTGGGAAAAAAAACTTGACTGTGTCGTCACCACGTCTTGTGGAATAAAACACAACAACTTTATTGCAAATTCATGCCCGAAGGCTAATTCTGTATCTGTATCTGTATAGCCGGTATAACCGCCTTTCGGCGTAACACACCAGCTTTATTACAAATCAATCACGAGCGATGTACAAGATGTATCCTCTTGAGTTTGTTTTTATCTACTTTTGGCTGGTACAGCTTCCAGTGGTCGGAAAATATATCAATGCATTACAATAGAACATCAGTATAAAGGTATCAAAATTACTTTTATACATTTATACAAGTATATATGTATGTAGTTACTGTAAACTGTAATTAGCTTTGCGGGCATCAAAAACATAAAAAAACTGCCGTATGATTCTATGAATCGGAAAATGTGCTAGCCAAAAACAAAACGCTATGACTTGCGTGTAAAGATAATGTCAAATCTTGTAAGTTTTTGTGCCACATTCTTGTGTGATTATTACAACAAGGCTTCTTTGTTCTTGGATATTTCTAATGACATCTATCTTCTCTTCCACACACCAGGTGTTCGCTAATCAGCGTTCTCAGCCCTTCCCAAGGACTCGTTTTCGAAAAGAAGCACGATTCACCGCCCAAAACGTCCATAAATTACTCATTTCAAACGCCCTTTTCTGACACTACCCCCACCTGTGCGGCGGCCATCTTTGTTTTGTCACAGCGCCCCCTGCTGTGAGGCGACATTAGTGCCATTGTTGCGGCCGTCACACCGCCGGTGACAGATGACGAGGTGGCGTGTAGGGGTTTCGCTCATTAGTTTTCTTGGCCGATCTTCTAACAATTTCCGAGGAAAATAGCTGGAGGAGAGGTTTGAAATGTGCATCTGTTCCTTCGCCTCACCTTTTGAACTCTGTGGTGTGTCGTTTTTCTCGTCCCAGTGGCAAGTATGGCATGACTTGGACGCAGCTGCCCAGAGCAAACAGCACAAACAAAATCAGACTACCAAAACCAAAATCAAACTCTCAGAAAAAGCGCTTTACATACAGGATGTCACAGTTGTGGAATAACATAGGCAACTAGCAAAGTACTGGATTGTAAATAGTGAATTGTATAAAGTTTGCCATGTACTGTCAATTTTGTAATGTTTTGTACGTAACTTTGTAATATATGTATGTAAATATGAATGTGCAGACCACAGGAAGAATAGCCTCTTATGAGGCTAATTGTGGATCTGAATAAAACTGAAACTGAAATATATGTATATATTTTATCTCAAACTGTTCGTTACATGACAACGCTATAAATGAGTTGACATATTACAGACAAACAAAAAAAACTATTCTTCTTTTAACTTCCCAAAAAAACACAAATATTGGAAAAGGTGGGACATTACGTCTTCCATGGTTTACAGAAGAGAAGTGAAAAACTTCAGACATAGTTTTAGACATAGTTATAGTTCTAGACAGCTACCTTTATCATGTAGACTTTAGTTATTTTATACTCGAATTCATTGTTATTTTATGTTTTGTAATTTGCAATTATCCTCCGTGCACGAATTTGCAATAAACTTTTCAATATTTATATACTAACCTGGCTTGTCGAACATTCGGACATTCGGACCTGAAAAATTGTTACTAAGAAAAAAGGAAACGAGTTAGATTGTGAGTTAAACAACAGGAAGAGACCAAGAAGCTTTCAAAATCTCATATATGATAATAATGATAATGATGATAATAATAATAACATATCAGTATGATATATGGCATAGGATTGATTCAACGAATCGGACCAAAAACTGACTTGGAAAATCCAGTTTTGCCGCCCTGAAATTGCATTAGATACCTTTAAGATGATAGTTGACGTCTTCAAAACGAATATTAAAACAGATACAACTGCTTGCCTGGACGTTGCTTTTCTCATCCGGATTTTTATTGACTTCTTATCTTAAAGCCTGCCTTTGTTGCTCGGCAATAAGAAGAAGGTACCTCTCCCAATCCTTAACTTCTGCTTGGAGAGCGGATTTACTTCTGAAAAGGACAAATTCGTCTCTTTTGTGCGGGCGATAAATTAAGGACGTCCATTAATTCAAAGAAGTACAGACAAACCCGGCGCGTGCCTGGTTACAGTAAATATAAACACACAGCAGCTAAAACTGTACAAACTGGTCCTTGTTCGGGCGTATGTTAGGACAGTCTGTTCTAAAAAGGATCTACTGTGGTTCTATGTCCTGAAAAACCATTTGTGTAAGACAAATGATGCTAATACGAACGCTTTAATTAAGTTCTAGCTCTGAGAGGTGCTTAAGTCTCACAACGATAATACTGTAAGGCAGTATGTGTAACACCACTCGCGTTATGTACTCTCCATGCATAGGTTTTGGGTTTTGGGTTATTTTTGGCGTGTTTTTTGGATTTTTATCAGGGTTTCTTTTTTGCACTGGGTTAGGTGAAAAAATCAGTGCAAAAAAAAAGAAACCCCAACAAAAAAAGCCTAAAAACACAAAAAAATAACCCAAAACCTCTGCTTTGAGAGTACAGTAATGAACGACGCCATTGTACACTCTGGTTTTACTTCATACCCTCATCAACATACGCAAAATCCTTATGTCTAATCAAAATACAATCAAAGAGGAAAGAAAACGTGAAAAGGATTCTTGTTCGGGGGTCAGTTCGTCTAATATTCGTCGATAAGGTTTAGGACAGCATTATATTATACATTGCAGTATATATTATTGTATATTTCACTGTGTATTTATCAATTGTACTTGTATGTATGGCTAACGACTTATTTTCTCCAAGGGTACTTCAAATTAAGAAACTTTATTAATTTTATTGATAAATAGTACGTGTGTTGAAGCGTCTAAAACAATAAATAATCTCTCTCATATAAAGTCGTGAATAACCTCCAGTGGAC